AAATTTTTAATAATAAATATTTGCATTTTTATTTTTTTGCTAAAAAAAGAAGAATTATTGATAAAAATCTGCATTTTTTTTCTTCCTTTAAACATGTATTATTTCATTATTAAAAATACCATAAAAATTTTATATATAAAAATCTAGTTTAAAAATAAAAATAAATATTTAATAGCATAAATGTTTTTATTTTAACGCTAAATATTTAAATATTTTAATGATTTATTTTGCATTTTCTCCTTTTAAATCTAGAAAATTTGCATTTTTGAATCCTTTTTTTTTGGGGGGTTTTCTTTATTGTTTTTAATCGTAATTTCATTACTACAATACATTTTATTGTAATTAAATTACTCATTTCTTCTTCATTTCCCTAATCTCTTCTTATATTGAATTCTATAAATAAGTAATTAATTAATCCAAAAAAAAGTCACCTAAACTTTAACTAAATTAACTTAATCCAGTGAAAACTTTCTCTTAATCATAATTAAAATATACGATTTAATTTTTGTTTAAAGATTAAAATAATTAAAGACATTTTCTTCGCTGTAGATTAAATTTTCTATAGGCATTTGTTTACTGTGAATAATTTATAATACATTCAAACCTCCGATCAACGGCCAATTCACTGGAATATAAAGAAATGTCCGTTGTTTAGAGGGTATTTTTGTATTAAATTTTATTCGATGTTCCAAGAAAATAGGCCGTTGTTTGGAGGTTATTTTTTTTTAGCATTGTTGTTCGACTTCTCTGTAAAAGGCCGTTGTTCGCAGGTGGTCGCTGCTAGCAGGTTATTTGGATACACGTTTTAAATTTTCCGAAAAATTAGCTTCTGTTTACAGTTGGATATTATTAAGAAATTAATTAATAATTTAACTGTAAAAAAAGTATGCTTTATATATAAGAACTTATTAATTTAAATACTCTTATTCTTATATATACGAAGAAATATACGAAGATTTTAATGCATTTTTATGCATAATTATGCATAAATATGCACTGAAAAAGGTATAAAGACTGCACTTTAACCTCTGAGGAATGAAAAAGAATATTTTGAATTTCAGAAACACTTCAAATTTAAGAGGAACACCAATTTATAAGAAACAGCTTGAATTAAAAGTAATATGACCTTCAAGAGAATTTGGGAAAAGTTTCCAAGATTCAATCACGTTAGTAGCATACATCATAATTAATTCCTCAAAAATGCTAATTAAGAGCTCTACAAATTAATGTATAAAACTATAATTACAATTAAAACAATTCATATTTAATAAATAAATTAAAAAACATTACACAATACTTAAGAGAATTTAAGAAAGTTTGTATTTATTCTTCACTTACTGTAAACTATGCGTTAATGTGTATCTTGAATGGCGCTTAAGGATTTAATTAAGGTAGAATTAATAAGTTAAACTTAAATACCTCCAATTATTCTAGTTAAATTAATAATTTGGAGAGTCATTAACAATGAAAAATCATTTGTTTTGAGGTAAAGTAGTCGCAAATATGTCGCTTCCTCATAGAAATTTTCAACTGTAAACTCGTTTATTAGAAGTCAAAGGCAGATAAACAACTATATATCTCTTCTATTACCGGTTAAGCATTCACCTTCTGTTGAACATTAAATTCTCCTGAGAAACTAATCGATAATGCAACTTCCGTCCCGAAACTAATGACGCTTGAATCTTCTGTTGTATTGAGATTAAAAGCTAAATTTTTACCTTGAAATTAAAGATAATTATCGATTAATTATTCTTAAGAATTAACTTAAAATGTACTTTTTATCTAACGATTTAATGCTGCATTGCTGTTTGCAGAATCAAGTGCACTACGGCAGTTTTACATGGTGTAAAGTTACTGAAGTGTTCTTGATTTCAAGTACACTACAACTGATATAAACTGTTGGTTTAGTGTGTTTTTCATCTAGAAGTTTGATTTATTGTTGCATTACTGTTTGTAGAAGCACTAATATCAAGTGCTCTACAAATTTCACAAGGTTCCTGAAATGTTTTTAATATCAAGTACACTATAACTGATGTAAAACATATTAAAGTAACAGTTTATATCTAATGATTTAGTATTGCATTGCTGTTTGCAAAAGCACTATAATATATAATATGTTATATTAAATGCACTCTAATGGATCAAGAAACACCTGATATTTGATAGATTTTAATTTGGTCTACCTGATATCATATATAGTTAATAACAATACAGCAATTGTTTTAGATAAGAAATTATTAAGTTATTTGTAGTTTATCTCTCAATTACATCACAATTATTTCTAAAATAACTCTAGTATTTCAAGTGTACTTGATATCAAATACATTACAGTAGTTTTAGTAAGTTCAAACTTGAATATAGTTGCATATATTGTAATAAAATTGTGAATTATATTGAACCTGTGTAAACCGGACGATGCCGAGTTATGCAGGTTTCCGTTTTGAGCAGGTTTTTTAAACACACAAACTCGTGGTGTTCCTAAAAATTCGTCCAGTTTAGTCAGGTTTTCGTTTTATTAAGCTTCTGCTTTAGACAAGTTTTGCTGTACTTATATTGAAGCCCTATAGCAAATTAAATTATGTTAGAAGGAATGAAATAAACGGGAAATATTGTGTAGGGCCTTGAGGCCCAGCGCAATTTATTCTTCTCCCTGGGCCTTACTCTTTGACTGTCAACTATATTGCATCGCTGTGCAAGTGTTTGATTACTTCAGCAATGTGAAGTGTGCCTGGTAATTTAATACTGTAGACTTCTGTTGTATAGTGTATTTGATATCAGGTAAACTATATCCTTATTAAAAACTTTATTAATTACATTTTAATGAAGGAATAATTATTACTCTGTTAAACTTTATAAGTTAAATGCAGTATATATTTTAAATTTTTTAAAATATTTTGTGTAAATAGGAAAAACATAGGAAAATATAATAATAAATAAATAACAAGAACTGAATACGTTATGTGTGTACCTTGGGCTGTATTTTGCTTTATAACTCAGGAACCCTTGAGGAACAACGAGCGATCTGCCGAGGTCATTCTAGGAGGACTTTTATGGAAAACTTGCCCCTATTTAGGTGTTACTAACCTGAAAAACCGTTGGCCAAGATCGAACCCACCACCAGCTACCAGCGGTTTTATCCACTCGTGTACTGATAGGTCCTATTTATATGAAGAATGGCCCCTAATTAGATGTTGCTAACGTGAAAAAACCCCCAGAAAAATTCACGTGACCAGCTCGTTGGCCAGGTGCGAACCCACGTCACAACACCGGGTTGCAATTTTTAATTTATTTAATTTAAAATATATGTTCTCCACCTCAAATTAGTAGTGGTTTTTCCCTGTACATCATACTTTCCCTTTGACAATAGAGTCCTATGGTCATCTATATAACTTCCTTCAGAAGAAAATATTTCAATTCAAATAACGTCACTTCCAGTACAAACCGGAAATTCGTATATAGTTAATCAGGGTCACCTGTCTCCACCCTTTCCATATCTGGTCTCGACTTTCATCCGTATAACTCCATTCTTGAGATTAAGGAAGGACAATTAGACAGACAGACGAACGACAATAGCAATTCGTAGGTCTAAAATTTTTCATTTTGCATTTTTGGAACAATGAGGAATGTAAAAATATTCAGTTTTCTTCTGTATGTATAGATGTTAGTGTGCTTTTGTATTGATATGTATGTGTGCATATTTATGTGAGATACGATTTTGTTCACCCTGTTTGAAAGTTTAATAACTCCCGTGCTTTTTGTCAGAAATTTCTGAAATTTTAAAGGATAATTTGTTTATTAGGGAAATTAATTCCATTAAATTTTGGTGATTAAAGGTCAAAGGGGTGAGGAGATAAAAGGGTTCGTATGTATCTCCAGTAGGATCGGATATAATAACGATTTTACTCGTTATTACCATTTACAATTTTGTGTAAAATCCAACCCTCCCTTTAAAATTAAGCTTTTAACCATTCTATAATAGTTTAAAATATAAAAATTTGTTTTATTACAATATTATAACACCAAAATTTGCCGGGAAAGATACTCAACTCGTTGCTAGATTTTCTCAAATTACAACCA